TCCTCTCTCGCGTGCTGGGCGGCAGGCCGCCACTGGGGGCGTCCCTCGAGAGCGCTTCTTCCCCTTTTGAGCGGCGGAGTCCGAGCCCCAAGGCCACCCTCGAAGGCGCGACGGTATTCGCGCTTCGCGCTTCGCGGTTCGGCTCCGATTCTTCGTCCTCCTCTTCTCCCCTGGGGTGCGGCGCGAGAGAGCGAAGTTAGGCGCCCTTGCTTTGCCGATCAACGATATAGGCAACTCGATGGGTGGCGGGGGTAGGGTTCGAGTTTCGTCGAACACGTGGCGAAATCCGAACCCTGCCCTGCCTCCTATCGATTCGGGAGAGGCGATGGTTGGTGGGGTAGGGTTGGGTGTCGCCACCTATCCCCATTCCTCCGTCCAGTTCTCCCTGCGTCCTCGCCTCAGAGGAGGGCGAATTGACCCAACGGTTCTTAGCCTTCGGGGGGGCCCCTCGTCGCCACGGCTGGACGCAGCCTGCAGCAAACATGGATGCGTTTGAACCCGCTGAGGGGTCCGGGGGCCGATTTCGAGTTGCCGTTGTCTCATTTCGCCTTCCTCCGATCGTCGTGATTCGGTCAGAGGGCGCGGGTTCAATTTTCACTCGCGCTGACATTTACCAGCTTGAAACACATACCGATCCCTATGTTTGGCATCACCTTACCTCGGTGCAGATCGTGAAACATCCCGCAGTTTCTGGGGACACATCCCTGAAGTTATCATCGCCTTGGGCTTGCCAGCCCTAGGGCCCTAGGGCTACGGATCAGTTCGAGGCTGGTTCGACCTCCAGGGATGGGGTAGCCCATGATTCCCGCCTGGCTACGGCAAGGTCATGCTTACCCTCAAGCGCACTGGCGCTACATTACAGGCTCGGGAGTATTCCCTTAACGCCGCACCAAAGCCCCAGCAACACCCGAAAGACAAATGAAGACTTCCGCGCCCAACCCGGGCTGCAATTGCGGGCGCGCGATCCAAACGCCCGCCCTTCTAAAATTCTAAACGGGCTTCCGCTTGCGGGGGGGGGCCTGGGGTGATCCAATCCTTTAATAAGAAGAGTGGATGGAGCCTGGTTTGGACGATTCTACCTAGGGCGTCCTCAAAATCTGCCTGGCTTGGTCCTTGATTTTGCCGCGCGCCCCGCCTGGGACATCCTCAAAATCTGCCTGGTTTGGCTCCCGTCTTGGCCTGCTTTGTGCCCGTTTCGCTTGAGACTTCCTCGAAATTTGCCTGGTTTGGCCTGGTTTGGGCCTAGCCTCGCTGGAGACGTCCCAGAATTTGCTTGGTTTGGCTTAGTTTCGGCCCAGTTTCCGATGAGACGGCCTTAACAATTTTCCTGGTTTGGCCTCGGTGAGTCGAAACATCCGCGGAGGTATGCACGGTTGAGTGACAGCCGTCATGGGCTCCATGCGGTGTCAGCACGCAGTGGGATGTGTCCCGTATTCGTTTACATCGATAGGATAATTAACAGACGTCGTGGCGGATGAGTACAAACCGAAGTATTCGCACGGTGTCATACATACCAAGTGTGGTCCACATGTGACACGACTGCGCTACAAAAAGGCGGGCGGCATGGGTGGGGGCATCCCCAACACGGTGTGCATCGGCATGGGCGTGCGTGGCGGCGTTCGGAGAAAACCTTCCCGAGGCTGCAGAGTCCCCTTCCTCGACCTCGTGTGAGGCTTCATGCTTGTCCTGCTGAACGACCTGCCCACTTAAGGAGCTAGGTCCTGGCGTGCATTCAGACTGGGAGGCCAACCTCAAGGGAGGAGTGAACACCTCGCCCCCTTCAATCGGCATCTGCTCAAGCGTCCTGCGCTTTCGAAACCCAGGCAGCACGGCTCCCTTCGATCCTTTCCTTGGGCACGCCGGCCAAGAGTACGGCGGCGAGACCTACGCGTATCCACCGCCTCTGGCCACGCCCAACTTGGGCCCAGGACCAGTGTACACGTCCCCTCGCCTTGGCCAGATAGGCATACAGTGGAGACCCATGCCAAGCAACACCCTGCTTGCCTCCAGGGTGCCCTGGGTTTCTTGGGTTTCGATGGTTTTGCGATGGAGAGCGCGACGGTCCTGGGGTCTCAGGGATGGTTTTCTTGTGGAAGGTTTCTTGTGGTCGGGCCCCTATTGTACACGCCGATCCGATCCTTATCCCAGGATGGGCTTGGCTAGCGGCGGTGGAACTGTAAAGATCTCGTCGCCCGACGCGGGCTCGTTTGCGGGGGCCTCTGTGCTGCGGGTGGCTCTCCCGCACACAACCTAGGACGAGACGCCACGAGCCAAGTGCAACATCGTAAGACATCACGCCCGGAGTCCCGGACCCCATGTTTCTGCGGCATTCTTCCGAGCCGGATCGATCCGTGAGGGCCACGGGGCCCGAAATTGGGCACAACTGCCCGTTGCGAAAATATTGAGACGCCGGGTCCCCAGGGGTGCACCCCTTCCCCAGGAAACCAGGTTTGCATCCCGAGTAGGTTTTGACGGTCCCGGGGCCTAGCGAGGGCCCCCAGAGGCTGAAAGTTGCGAGCGAAAAAACGTCCATGCCGAATTTTTCAAGACGTTGGAGGTTGTCAAGGGCCTCGGGCCCAATGTGGGCCTGTGGAAGCCTGCGCGTCTTGGCCGCCGATCGGCGCCCTGGCTTGCGGGCAAACTGCCAGAGATGCCCCTGGCCCAGGGTGTCCCCCCAGCCTCCCATGCCGTGCTCTGGCCCTTGGGCCCCTGTGGCACAGCTGGCGATTTTGTTTTGTTTCGGGTCCAGGGGACCCTCACGGATCGATCCAGCTCGAGACATGCAGCAGACAGAAGGGGTCCAATGCTCCAGCACAGTTTTCTTTTTTTGAAAGAGCGTGTCCTACCGTTGCTGGCGGAAAACCCACAGGAGGGCCACTGGGGGTTTTCAACCCGTCCCCTCCCCCTCTCGAAAACCGGGGGGGGGTTACTACCGGTTCGAACCCCCCCTCCCCCCCGCACTCCCCGTCCATAATGAAAAAGGGGGGGTCACTACCGGTTCGACCCTCCCCCCTCGCCGCCGGCAAACGATTCCCGCTCCTCGGGACAGTGGGACAGTGGTGGGGACACTGGGACTGGTGAGGACGGTGGTGGTGGTGGGGACATTGGTGTGGGGACAGTGGGACAGTTTTTGGGACAGTAGGACAGTTGTGGGGACGGTGGTGGTGGGCACAGTGGTGTGGGGACAGCGGGACAGTGGTGGGGACACTGGGACAGTGGTGTGGATGGACGGTAGTGGTGGGGACAGTGGTGAAGACGGTGGTGAGGACGGTGGTGGGACAGTGGTACAGTGGGGAGAGTGGTGGGGACAGCGGGGACAGTGGGACAGTGGTGGGGACAGTGGGGACAGTGGGACAGTACAGTGGGACAGTACAGTGGGACAGCGGCGGGGACAGTGGGGACAGTGGGACAGTGGTGGGAACAGTGGGACAGTGGTTGGGACAGTGGGGACAATGGGGAGAGTAAAATCGTGGTGGGACAATGGTGGGGACAGTGGGGACAGTGAGACACTGGTTGGGGCACTGGTGGGGACAGCGGGGACAATGGTGGGAACAGTGGGGACAGTGGGACAGTGGTAGGAACAGTGGGACAGTGGTGGGGGGGACAGTGGTGTGGGGACAGTGGGACAGTGGTGGGGACAGTGTTGGAGACAGTCGGGACAGTGGGACAGTGGTGGGGACGGTGGTGGTGGGGACAGTGGTGAAGGCGGTGGTGAGGACGGTGGTGGGACAATGGGACAGGGCTGCAGTGGGGACAGCAGTTGGGGACAGTGGGAACAGTGGTGGGAACAGTGCGACAGCTCAGTGGGACAGCGGCGGGGACAGTGGGACAGTGGGACAGTGGGGACAGTGGGACAGAGGTGGGGACCGTGGGTGGGGGCACTGGTGGGGACAGTGGGGACAGTGGGGACAGTGGTGGGACAAGTGGAGACGGTGGTGGTGTGGACGGTGGTGCTGGGGATAGCGGTGGGGGATGTGGTGCAGACGGTGGTGGGGACCCGGGAGTCGATTGCCGGCGGTGAGGGGGGGGTTCGAACCCCGGTAGTGCCCCCCCCGGTTTTCTGGAGGAGGAGGGGGTTCGAACCGGTAGTGACCCCCGGGTTCCGGAGGAAGAGGGGGGGAATTTTCCACAGTACAGCGGCGGTGGATCACGCTCTCTCCTTCTTTTGCACACCCACAAACGATGCTGGTTTTTGTTCGTGATGTCGGATCTCAGGGATCCCCGTCCGCGGACGACTTGTATGCACTGTGCCGCGCTGGCGTCTCCCAAGGCGTCGTGGGTCCTCGGCCTTACGAACGGTCTACGGTGCACAGTTTTGGGTCCTCGGGGCCGAAAGCTCTGCACTGTGCCGCGCTGGGGCAGGGAGGGAGGCTCTGGAGCCCCCCTGGGGCCTCCCCTCGAAAGCCCGAAGGGCACATGCGGCCAGGGCCACCTCCTGGCAACACCCGACGTCCTCCACGTCTCGTCGTCCTCGTGAGCGATGGAAGGGCGCTGTGCCGTCTGCACCGACATTGGCGCGCAAGCTTTCCGCGCAAGGTCGTGCGCGAGCGCCCTCGTTCCCATTGTGGCGTGCCACGCTGGCGGCCCGCGTAAACCACCCCGTAAGGTCGCTATGCCATCTGGCGGAAAGCCCTTTTCGTTGCATCGCTCACGTCGTCCTCGAGGACGCCACAACCCACCCCCACCCCTGCCAGGATCCCCACCCCCGACCTGGTGATCCAGGGGGTCCTTGCTGGGGGTGGCGGTGCTTTTTGGAGGTTCTCAGGGGCCAAAAAGCCCCCCCCCCCCACACCAGCAGCCAGAACCCCCTGGACTACCAGGTCGGGGGTGGGGGTCCTGGCGGGGGTGGGGGCGAGCCGCTGTCCTCAGACCTCGGCGTCCTCGTTGTCGTCCACGTCGTCCATGTCGTCCTCCGCGTCGTCCTCGCCGTCGTCGCCGCTGTGCCGCGCCAGCCTCGCCCCCGCGGGCCGGCGAGCGCAGCGCCCCCCCGCTGGCCCGAGGAGCACGAGGTGACCGAGCGGCTGCGCGCAGAGCAGGCCGCGCGCCTGGGAGCGCCTCGGCGGCTGTTCTGTCAGCGGCAACTTGAGCCCAAGGAAGTTGCTGAGGAGGAGCGGTCGAGGTATGAGATCGGGGTCGGTTCGGGGAGGGTGCCCTAGTGCTCTTCGTCTTTGTTGGATGTCGTTTTGTGTTTGTTGGATGTTCTTGTGCACCCTGGGGAGGGTGCCCTTGGATGTTCTGTGGGTTTTGGCCGGGGGGTGTCTCGTGTTCTTGAGGGACGTTCGTCTGTCCTGGGTTCGACTGTACCCATACCACTGCCCTTCGCCCGTTTTCGCCCGTTTGGGGCCTCCTTGAAGGCCCCCGCCGCCACCGCTGGATTCGCCTCGACATTCTGGTCAGAAGGCACCCCGGGAGAGGTCCAGGGAGCAGCGGTATCGGTACCTCGTGGCTTCCCCGGCAGCGATGAGAGGCAGCCGAGGGACGCGTCAGAGCCGAGTTGGGCACACGGGGACACAACGTGAAGGGGCGCGGGCCGGGGGCGGAGGGAGGCCGCGGGCGGCGGAGCACCCGGAGACGGTGAAGATCTTCCTCGGCCGCACAGGCAGACCCTGAGCTCTTGGCTCGGGGCTCACGCGTCGGGGGTCAGCGCCAAGGGGGGGGGTCAGCCCATGCCCCCTGGCTGACCCAGGTCTGGGAGCCACGTGGGGCCGATCCCCCCCTGCCGCCCTCCGCTGACCCGGGCACGTGAGCTATTGAGCGGCAGGCCAGGCTTCGCGACGGGGCCTTGGCCGACCCGTGCTTCTGCTGACCAGGGTTAGAGCGTGCGCGACTGGCGTCGCAATTCCTGCATAGCCGGTGATGTTGAGCAGGTGAACCAGACTCTCAACACATTGTGACATTCAAGACCGATGCTTTTCTTGTTTTCGGCCATTGGGCCTTCGCCGGGCCCTGGGCCTGCCAAAAAGTCACTTCCAGGGAATGGTCTCCGGTATGGCCTCCCGCGTGGTCTCCGGCACGGTCTTTCGCACGGTTTTCCGTATGGTCTCTCGTACGGTCGCCCGTATTCAACACAATGCAGTGCTATTTCAACTTTTTACTTATGCTATTAGGGTCACCTGCCGCCACGATGTGATCATTTGTTGTTGATGGTCCCGGTGCACGTGGAGGGCCCATGGGGCACGAGAACGGTGGAAAGCTTCCGAAACGCTTGGTCTTCCGGGACGGGACCTGTCTTCTTCATTGCTAGCCATGCCTTGGTTTGCTGAGGTCGCCTTTGACAGGGCTCCGACGACTGCTTCAGACGTCGCTGTCGCTCAGCCAGGGTCCATTTCGATCCGATCCATCTGACTCGATATCGGTACCGATGTGTGCCGGCTCGGTCATATTTGATTATGATAATCGGACGATCCGAGCGGCCCGATGTTTGCATCTCGCTGTTGTGTATCTTGGTGCGGCCAGTCCGATCCGATCTCGACCCGGTGCCGACGCGGCTCAATTTGGCACACGTTCCGATCCGATTTGATCCTGATCTTCCGTTCTCGTTTGCCACCGCCACCCCACGTGCACGTGCCTCGCGCCGCGGTCCTTGCCCTCTCGATTCTGGATGCCAGGCCTCCAGAATCGCTACACAGGTGTGTCCTAGTTCTTTCTTTGGGCGCCTGGGGGCCGCTCTGGAACGGACCCCCACCAGCATCGGAGGTCTGGGAGGATGCTGCGCCGAGGGCTTGGCACACAGTCAGCTCGAACATGAGCTCAAGCTAGTTAGAGAGGACGAGGACGGCGATGACGAGGCCAGTGAGGATGGCGAGGACGAAGACGGCCACGACGAGGACGACGAGGTCGACGAGGACGACGGCGATGAGGACGAGGGCTGAGAACGAGTGCGACGAGGACGACGGCTAGGAGGAGGACGACGCGGATGAAGGCATTGGGCTGGGTCCAGAGGAGGAGGAGGAGGAGGACGACGAGGTCGAGGACAAGGGTCCTCTTCCTTTGTTTTCTCCTGTCTAGAAGGAGGGGCTCGGGGCCCGCCGAGGCGAAGAACCAGGCCTTGCAGACCACGCTGGACCAGACTCTGGCGAGCTCTCTCCTGTCTGTCGGTCTGTCCTTCGGTCGGTCGGTCGGTCGGTCGGTCGGTCGGTCTGTCTGTCTGTCTGTCTGCCTGTCTGTCTGTCTGTCTGTCTGTCTGTCTGTCTGTTTGTCTCTATTTCTCTGTCTCGTTTTTTTTTGGGGGGGTGTTCTCTCTCTCTCTCTCTATCTCTCTCTCTGTCTCTCTCTCTCTGCCTCTGTCTCTTTCTTTCTTTCTTTTCTCTCGCCCATTCATTTTTCCATACTCTTCTCTCATCTTTCTCTCTATCTGTACATAGATATACAGGTACGGTCGTATAGGTATACAGGTATATCGATCTATGAAAGAGGGCGTTCTGCCGCTGCTGGCAAAAAACCGAGGGTGGTTCACTGGGGGTTCCACCACCCCCCGGTCCATCATGAAAAAGGGGGGGTGTCCCTACCGGTTCGGATCGCCTCCCCCCCCCCCTCGCCGCCGGCAAACGCTTCCCCCTCTTCCCCCACTCCGGACAGTGGGACGGCGGCGGGGACAGTGGGGACAGTGGGACAGTGGTGGGGACAGTGGGGACAGTGGGACAGTGTGGTGGGGACGGTGGTGGTGGGGACAGTGGTGAGGGCGGTGGTGAGGACGGTGGTGGGACAATGGGACAGGGGTACAGTGGGGGCACTGGGGGGGACAGTTGGGACGGTGGCGGGAACAGTGGAGACGGTTGGACAGTGGTGGGGACAGTGGGGACAGAGGGACGGGGACGGTGGTGGTTGGGACGCGGACAGTGGGACAGTAGTGGGGACAGTGGGGACAGTGGGACGGTGGTGGGTACGGTGGTGGTGGGGGGGACAGTGGTGAGGGAGCTGGTGAGGACGGTGGTGCGACAATGGGACAATCGTACAGTTTGGAGAGTGGTGGGGACAGTGGGGACAGTGGGACAGTGGTGGGGACAGTGGGGACAGAGGGAAAGCACAGTGGGACAGCGGTGGGGACAGTGGGACAGTGGTGGGGACAGTGGGGACTGGGACAGTGGTGGGGACAGTAGCGGGGACAGTGGGGAGAGTGGGACCTTGGTGGGGACAGTGGCGGGGACAGCGGGGACAGTGCGACAGTGGTGGGGGCACTGGTGGGGACAGTGGGGACAGTGGTGGGAACAGTGGGGGCAGTGCGACAGTGGTGGGGACAGGTGGGACAGTGGGGACAGTAGGATGGGGACGGTGGTGGTGGGGACAGTGGTGGGGACAGTGGGACAGTGGTGGGGACAGTGGGGACGTGGTGGGGACAGTGGTGAGGGCGGTGGGGAGGACGGTGGTGGGACAGTGGGGACAGTGGTGCAGTGTGGACAGTGGTGGGGACAGTGGGGACACTGGGACAGTGGCGGGATCAGTGGGACAGCACAGTGGGACAGCGGAGGGGACAGTGTGGACAGTGGGACAGTCGGGACAGTGGGACAGTGGTGGGGACAGTGGTGGGGACAGTGGGGACAGTGCGACAGATGTGGGGGCACTGGTGGGAACAGTGGGTCAAGTGCGACAGTGGCGGGGGCACTGGTGGACAGTGGGGACAGTGGTGGGAACAGTGGGGACAGTGGGACAGTGGTGGGGACAGGTGGGGACAGTTGGGACACTGGGACAGTGGTGGGGACGGTGGTGGTGGGGACGGTGGTGAGGGCGGTGGTGAGGACCCGGCAGGAGTCGTTTGCCGGCGGCGAGTAGGTGGGGGGGGGTTCAGGTGGGAGGGGGTCGAACTTCCGTAGTGACCCCTCCCCGGTTTTCTGGAGGGGGGTTGCGGTGGGGGGTGAGGTTTGTTGGGGGAGGGTGTGGGGGGGTGCGGGTTCTCTCCTACATATCAATCTATCCATCCATCCATCTATCCATCCATCCATCCATTTATCTGTGTAGCTATCTGAGTAGGCCCCGCCACGGGGGCGACCAATACTGGTACAACTGTGTGACATGGGGGGCCCAACGTGCCTCCATCCGCCAAAAGGGCCCTAAACGGAGCCCAGGGGCGAAAACCACTGATTTACCTGATGTTTTTGAGGATTTTCGTGTGGCCGCCTACTCCGCTGCTGCACGAAGCCCAGAGACGGCACAAGAGGCGCCCAATAGGGTCCCAAGACATATCAAGAGGGCGCCAATGCGGCCCAAGAGGAGCCCAAAGTCGCCCAGAGGGTTCCGGGCGGCCGCCCACATGAGCTCGGACACGTTACACACGGGCCCGAAACGAGGCCCACAGGGCCCCCAAACGGCCACAGCACGCCCATCATTGCTTTGATGCGAGCTCAGGTAGCCTCCGAAGCGCACCAAGATGGCTTCAAGCTGATCCCCGAGAGAGGCTCCAGTGGCGACGCACAACATGGCTCCAAGACACCCAAGCGGGCGCCAAGACGGCCCACGAGGCGCCCAGAATCGCCAAAGCGGGCTCCAGGTGGTTCCCCAAACGAGCTTGGACACGCCACAACGGCCCTACAGGAGGCCCACAGGGCCCCAGAATGGCCCAAGTACGCCCACCACCGCTCCGATGCAGCCCACGAGGCGTCCACGACGGCCCAAGAGGGCTCGACGTAAGCTGCTTTCCGAAACAGCCCCAATCGGCAAGCATCCTCTATTTTTTGATCGCGTGGTCGCCTGCTCCGCTTCCCGACGCTCGGAGACGGCACACGAGGCGTGCACGAGGGCCCCAATGTGCCCCAAGGCTGCGCCAAAGCGGCCCAAGAGGGCTCAAGGCGGCTCTCCACATGATCCTGGACACGCCAAGAGGGTAGTAAAGATTGCCCGCAGTGTTTCAAAACTGCCCTAGGACTCCCACCGAAGCCTCTTGCTGCCCACGAGGTACTCAAGACGCTCCAAGGCGGCTGCAAACTGCCCTCCGAGAGGGCCGCAATCAGGAGAAATCAGTGATTCTCTGTCGTTTTCAATGCTTTGTAATTTGTCGCCTGCTCCGCTTCCTAACGCGCGGGGACGGCCCACGAGGCATCCACGAGAGAGCCCCCACACAACGCAAGGAGGCTTATTTCGAGCCTCGATATCCCAGAGGGACTTTGCACTTAACACCCGGCCGAGGAGCCCCCAAAGGTTCCCAAAGACTTCCACATGAGTCGGGGATGGACAGACCCCCCTTTAGTAAAACGTGGTTTAGTGAAAACGACCTGAGGCCCAAACCTGGCGGGCGCAAGCCTGGAAAATAACGGCCACGGCGCCCTCTCGAGAACCGAAAACGGACAATTCACTAATCGACGTGTCAGGGTAGGAGGTCTGTCCACCCCCGAATGAGCCTCGGCACCCCGACAGGGCCCCACAGAGGCCTCCACGATGGCCCCCCACACGGCCGCAACCATCGGGTTCTGGAGAGCCGCTTGTCGCCCCTCATCGGAGCAGACGGCTCTCCAGTATTTCAAAAAGGAGCCCCGACACGCCGAAATCGGAGGGCACCAACTATACACCAACACCGATCCTGGCCCAGGATCACCCTGGGCCCAGGATCGGTGTATATGCCTTCTTGCGCAAGGCAGGAGGGCGTATACACCGATCCTGGGCCCAGGGTGATCCTGGGCCAGGATCGGTATTGGTGTATAGTTGGTGCCTTCCTACGAAAGGGGCTCACAGAGGCCTCCACGAGGGCTCCCACACGGGCGCGCTTTCAGGTTCCCCGAGAGCCTTTCTGGAACTTGATTGGCGTCGCCCGTCATCCGAGCAGACGTTCTCCAGCACTTTTTGCGCTGCCGTTAAGAGAGCCTTCCAAGAAAATGAGATTGGCAGCCAGTCCGAGGAAAGCACGGCGCGGAGGAGGATACCTGGCAAGTCGTATCTTGTGCAGTATTTGGGCAGTTGTTCTGCAATTCCAGAGTCAACTAGAACCTGTTTATATAGGTATGGGTGCCATTTTGGTGTTCGCAGAGTTGCTGGCGTGTGTGCATATAGGCGTTTTCAGTTCTCTCTCTCTCTCTCTCTTTCTTTCGACTGAGAGCTGTGCTTCTCTTCTTTTCCATCGCTCTGCTCATCCCATCAAGCGAACTCGGCGCGCTGTTCTATCTGGGCCAGTCCCTCTTTGTTCCTCTTACGCTTTTCGCATCTCACCAGCTACTAATATGAATTCCCGATCCTAGTTCTGCATATTGTAAGACTGCGTGTACACATCTTTATATATACACACATGTCGATGCCTATATCTATAGTTACCATATATCCTCATTTGGTCTCCCTTTCTGTACCAAATCACACATATCTCTTTCTATTTTTGTATGAAACTGTCATTACTTTCTCTCACCTGGTCATTTTTTTTGTTTAGCTCCCTCTCTCTCTTGATATCGTATAGACATAGATATGCCACATCCTTTTATGATTTCCTCGTCTCTTTCGATATTTTCCTCTTTCTCTCTCCCGTGTCCCCCTCTTTCTATGTCTCTCTTTCGGTGTTGGCCTGCCAGACTGCGTCGCAGTGTGTCTCAGAAAGACACGGTGGATGAGGAGGAGGAGGAGGAGGGTCGGGCTCGCCGATGCCAGAAAGCGCAAGCGGATCGTCTATCTGTCCATCCATCCTGCCCCGTTCCGGTCCATTCCGTTCCATCCCACCCTTTCGCCTCCCCCTCGAGGATTGGGATCGAGATGCCCTCGAGGTTCGGGCATTTTTGGATCCATTCCAAGATGTGTTTTTGGTGGCCCCCTCAGGCAGAAATTCTAGACGCTTCGCGTATCCCCATCAGCACGCCGCCTCGTGTTGTTCTGACAACTCGGGCCTCCGCCTGCCCCGACACCACCGGGGGCCAGACCTGGGGTGGGGTGAGTGCGGTGCGGCAAGTGGTACACCCTCTGCGCGCTATCGACGTTCCCCCTTCTGGTCCACCACGGCCCCCGTCTGACGCACGCCGCTTGGTTCCCCCGTCCTCCGTGATGGATCAGCTGCCTGCGTTGTTCCCCGACGACGTGGTCCACCTCAGGGCGGGAGCCTACATCGTGCTCCTGGTAGTGCTCGAGTGGTTCATCCTTTGTCCGTACTCACGCTCTCCTACGAGGGGACCA